TATATATATATATATATCAAATCTAGAACCATTGTGATATTTATAGGTTTCATTTGACAATTAGAACATGTCAAAACCGATCTCAACTATAAAAAACAATTAAAAAGACTGATTAATACATTTATTAATTAATTGACAAAAAATTAATTTTGGATTTTATTTAAAATTCAATGTCTTTGCACTAACTTTACCCATTTTCATATAGTTTGAAGACATGTTTATAAGGCCTCTTCAAAGTCTATATTCCTCACTCTCACAAAGGATTTTTCTTCATAATATCATAATTCTAACACAAATTTGTTGCTATGAACTCCATAAGCCTAATTACGTTATGAATTGTTAGATTTAATATTTTAAAAATGTGGGATGAAATTTAATTAGGGTTTAAATTGAGACGGGTGATGTGGGTAATACAATATCCGACCTCCTTCCTATCCCCAGTTTTTTACTTACGAGGATCCTTAGCCCCAGGACCCCGACGCTCGCCCTGATTTGATGGAAACAGAGTTCCCCCATTAGTCAATGCCAATTTTCATATCAAATTTTAGTTGTATATGTTTATGCATGTATAATTGGAAGTATAAACGAAATAGTTACAAGCTGAATTCTAAAGGACCCTTTAATATGTTTAGGCCATTTTCTTTAAATTGTTACTAAATTACCAACTAAATGTATGTTGTTGGTCAATTAAACAATATTTGTTTTATTAACAAAAATGCCGAAATTGGAAATGAATCCACAACTGGTCATAGGTCTTAACATTTATCCATTCTAAAACACTGTTGTGATATATGCTTGGCATCTTATATTGTAAGCACCACTACGGTTGATAAGGTTGTCTTCATTAGGTCGGATCTTTGGCTGATGAAGTTTATATAAGTTCGAGTTTATTGCTAGACACTTTTTAAACTAGACAAACCTTTTTTTTTCTCTAAAAACCTAATTATTTTAACAAAATATGATAAGATCAACATGCACTCTAATTGAGACATATTGATATATTTGACTTTTAACAAACACGTTTATTCATGTAGATGGTTATTCCATGTTTGTGCTGTTGTAGAAACAACATTTTCCTTTTGGATGTTGTTTGTATTTTGTTGTCCTTAAAAGTTGTAAATGTCTTCCATTTGGTAATACAATAAGTCATTTACTCATTCAAAGTTCTAGAAATGTTGAGTTTTTTATGAACATTTATCTCATATTGATCAAAGAAAAATATATGATTTGATCTTTAATTATTATAAACATTTTCCCTTTCTTGACAAAAACATCAACTTCTCTATCTCAATTATTATAAACACTTTCTCTTTCTTGACAAAAACATCAACTTCTAAAAAAAATGATTTGATATTGGTTGTGACCATAGACCTTTGAAAGCTTTCAATATGTGTTATAAGCGGATAAAACCAATTTTTAAACCATACGCGGTCTATTTTTTAATATTTGCATATACTTTTAAAAACATTTGATAAAAGTTATTAAAAAATTATTTGATAGTTGCTGATTGAATGAGACCCTACCTCTTATCAGATAATCTCATAAGTGGCATATCAGATGCAATATGACCCGAATGAGAGACTTCTAATTGTGGTATTTTTCTTATTCGTAGAACATAATAATCACACTTTTTGTGAAGTGATCATTGTGAAATATGCAGCAATGAATATGAGCTCAGAATGGTTTCAAACAAAGTAAGTTTTCTTTACAATGTCATACTTTTCTTTATTTATTCTTTTTGAAAAGATGACAACTCTATATCTGTTATTACAAGCCATTTTTTACCATTTTATCTCTCTATGTTCTCTGCAAATTATGTGTCATAATCTTAGTCAAATCTCTATCTTGGTCAAATTATGTGTCATTTTATCTCACAGCAAATTACTCATATAACGCAATCGAATCTATCAATCTTACACTTATGAACCAAATAACCATCAAATTCTCTATCATACCCACAACCCACAAAAGCCTTATCATTAATCTCTCTCCCAAATCTCGAAACATAATGAAGCCCCATAACAAGCTCAGTAATTGCATCTTCACACTTCACTTGATCCGCATAATGTAAAGTATTAACAAGAAGCACAATTCCACCCAAACCCATTCGTTGCTTCTCAAAAATCCTCTCAGAATGCCATTTTATCATATTATGAGCAAGTGGAGCCAACCAATTGAGAGTTTTTTGCATCAATGAACTCCACTCATATGCAACATCACGACTATAAACCTTGACACCCTCGTTTTTAATTTTCACTCTAAACGAGTTCTTGATTCTTGTGGTCAACATTTGATAAAGATCTTCTCGTGCTTCAGGACAAATAAAGTGAGGCGAAATCGCTAATCTTTCGATAAATATAATCACATTTGCATAATGAAGAGATAAACCCGCTTCACCAAGTGTCGGTTTTTGATCCTTTAACAATCTTTTCTTGGAATCGAATGAAACACAACCCGTTTTGAGTGATTTGATATGACCCGAGTTTCTTGATTTTACTGCTTTATCTCCAAGATTCGACATTGACATCTTAATATCACGTTCGAAAGGGTTGATCGATACAAGGGCAGAAATGGAATTACTACGCGCAAAACAACTACCATCACGAACATCACTTCCTTCACGAGACATATGAGGCGAGCTTCTTTTCAATATTCCGAAAACGCCCTTCACCCTATAGACTATTGTGAAAAGCGATCGAACCAGTAGCCTGACAATGTAATCATACGGTCGCACCCACACGGAAATCTCACGTAGACCAGCGACATCTTCACGTTGCCACATCACTTTCTTCTCGAATTCGTGTAATTTCAAGTGATCTGTGTTATCATTTTCTTGCATTCTTTTGAAAGCGTTTTCGAGCTCATATAACACTTCTAATTCTTCATATAACTGTGAAGTAATTGCAGCAAATCTCTTTATCTTTTTGACCTTTTTCTCCATTTTCTTCAATTTATACTCCCACCTACACCAATAATCATCAATCTCCATAGGATTATCGAAAATGTGGTCAAGATTATGATAAATTGGGTCCGTTGACTTTTTCCCAAGCCTAGCCACGGCTTGAGCCACACACTTGATGTTGACCAGGATTTCAAGTAGTGAAAGCTCCATGAGGTAATTGTGGTCATCTGAAACGAGTTTCTGAGTTCCAACTGAGTTACTGAGTTGGTCTTGGAACCGGGTCATTTGTTTATCGGTTAGGAATTGCCATAAATTGGCTATTTTTGTCATTGATTTGGAGACTTCGAATGACATGATGCCAATAACGGGTTTTTTGGGCTCCAAGATTGTGGGTTTACGTGAAGGTTTCCAGATGCTAGTAAACCAAGGTGATTCTTTCATTGTTTCGATCCCCATGAAGTTGATGAAAACCTCGGTGGGTATTCACTTATCCTGCTAAAGAAACAATAAGATGTTCAAGCTAAAATAGATTTCTTTGTGAAGTAAAAAAGCTCATGAATTAATCTATAACTGGAATGAATCTATTGTATATTGAAGTTGAAAAGCTAACTAATTTGCCCCTTACAAGATCAAGAATCGAACTTTATAACACTTGGTATAAATCTTGAAATCTTTTGGTATCAAAACCTTGGTTTAATCCCGCATTCGAAGAGGCAAAAAGATAAGGAAACCCCAAACAATTCATAACCAGAAACAAGATTAAACAAATTTAGAGAACACAAAAGAAAAAAAAATTGTTTTTCTACCGATACCCACATGAAATTTCACAATAAATCATAGATTTGAGTTGATGGTGTAACATATTATGTTGGTTTAAACCAAGAAAAGTTACAGATAATTCGGAATCGGAAGCAGAAACAAGAAAACTCGCACTAAATTGATTTGATTCTGCATTTGAAGCAGTGGAAACTAAGCAGATTGAGAAAATGCAAAATATCGATTCTTCCATCGATATCCTCATGAAATTTCACAACAAATCACAGATTCTATACAACTAACGGGGGAAATGAAACAAGAATCACTAAGAATTCGTAAGCAGAAACAAGAAAACTCACTACAAATTGTTTTAATTTTCATTCAAAGCACCAGAAACTTAACAAATTGAGAAAATGAAGAAGATATTTTTCTTCAATCAACACCCACATGAAATTTCATTACAAATTGCAGATTCGAATCGATAATTGCAACATATTATCTGGGTTTTGAACAAGAAAACTCACATAGAATTCAGAAGCAGAGCAGCAGAGGTGTTCGAAGCAACATTGACCGGCGAAGAAGAACCACAGAGAGACAGGTGGAATGGGTTTTTTTTCTGTTGTGAGAATCCCAACAGAAACGTGAGTGAAAAAGGATTCGATATAAATGCAACCCAAATCGGCGAATCCGATGGAATGATCTGTTAAGCGGATCTTTAGGAGATATGTTAACAAACGACGTCGTGTAGGGAACATTATTATTTTATTATGATTTTTAACGTCCATAAAAAAATAAATGTATTATTTTATTAAAAGTATGCTATACAAGATCGGTGAAATACTTTAAAAAAAAAAGTAATAGTTTGTTTATGAATTTCACAAAAGGATTACCTACAATAAAAATCAATTAATTTCACAATAGGATAATAGTTTGATTAATGATATAAAATATTTGATAAAAAAACTACCTACCATTGTGAGTTTGTGACTCATACCCAAGACAACCCCTATTGAATATGTCAATTTGTTTGTAAGTCATTGTTTGATTTTTTTAATATAAACGCATGAATGTATACATCAAATTTTGTTTTTTAGAAATCTTTTATCTAAATTTAAACTATTAAGTTGTATGTATGATGCATGTGTGTGTGTGAATCACTTAAATACATTAAAGTTTTTTAAAGTTCAAAAGAAAATTGGTAAATATATATATGTATGATTCTTCGGTCAACTGTCAATAAAATAAAATCTGTTTTACTGCAAAAAGAAAAAAAGAAATGCGGAAGCTGGAAATGAAAACTGGTCATATAGTAATAACATTTGTCCATTCTAACTTGTTGTGACATATGTTTAGCATCTTATATTGTACCCGCCATTAGTATAAGATTAATTATCTGTATTTTTTGTTATAATATTAATTAACTATAAGAACAATAAAATCAAAACATATTCTTTCATACTCATTGGCATGTTAAGGTGTTTGGTTGTTAACAAGTTGGAAGAGTTTTTTTTTTTTTTTTTCGTTGTCCTTTTGGTTGAAACAAGACTTGCCCGATGTTTGTATTTTCTTGTCCATAACGTTGTAAATTCCATGCAATCGTTACACAACAACATATTTGTTTTATTATGTCAAAGTTCTAGCAATTAAGGATTTTTATAGGTGTTTTTTTAGACCAAAAATTGACTTGTCCGGAAGAAATGATTTGATTTTACTTATTATAACCTTTGCTCTTTTTGTTGACCAAACAATTGACTTGGAAAAAAAAATGATTTTGATTTTAACTTACGTCGGAGCGTATGAGAGTTTACAGCGTTTAACAAAATGTTCCGTTTTAAACAAGAAACCCCCGTTTGACACTATAGACTTCTAGTGTTCAATTTAAACAAAACGCTACCAGTTAACTGTTACCGGTTAGTTTTGCTGAACAGGTCCTTAAACTAGATTATTATGCTCCATTTGTCATAACTATGAGGAGAATGTTGATCATGTGATGATCGAATGTGATGTGGCTTTGAATGTTCGTATCCGTATTGATAGGTGGGGTAATATGCAATTATTTTTATGTCTACGGTCAGAGAATGGTTTTTTTGGTCTATACAGGGGCGAAGCCAGGATTTACGGATAAGGGAGGCTGATAGTTTCACATCGCAATAATATAATAAAAATATAAAGTCTAAATTAAAAAAAAAACACACACAAAGAATTAATAAGCGTTATTTTAAACAAATGGCTTATTCTTACAACTTACAAATTGATATATATGACTATTGATTAATAGTAAATTAAATTAAAATGAAAGGGGTGAAGGCGGTGGTTATAAAGTAAACGTGGCCTCATAATTCTTATACTCTGTTGACTCATTGTTTTATATTTGTATAATAATAATTGTTTTTTAAAAATAACTGAGAGGGCTCAAGAATTATCAATTAATCGATGTGGGATTGTGGGCTAAGAGTTTACCGTTGGCTTATCTTATCAATAACATATAGCTGCAATTTGAAAAGAGAATTAGGGGGGCAGAGTACCCGGCAGCCCCCTACTGCCTCCGCCACTGGGTCTATACAATGAAGATCCCTATTTTGCACAGATTGTGCTTGGAAGGGACGATTCTTACTAGGGATGAGCATAGGCGGGTACCCGCCTCATTTGGCGAGAACCGGAACTGGAACCGGAACCGGCGGTTCCTAGAAAGTTAGAACCAGAATCGGAACCGCTCTAGGCAGTTCTTAAATGTTTGGAACCAGTCCCGGAACCGGCGGTTCCGGTTCCGGGAGC